AGAATGTTCTCCTTGAGGGATGCGTTCATAGTATGGAGAGTGTCCTTGATTCGATGCACCCGAAGTAACAGATACTGAGCACACTTTCTACGATTTTGCCACCCGATCAGTTCCCCGGTTTGTGTTTTACTTCGGCGGCTGTCTGTCCACGGGGGTAGACGATGGGTCCGGTGCCGAGCTTTTCCTCGGTTCTCGAGAGTAGGAAGACAAGCGCTCTTTGTTTGTGATACGTACTGTGTAACGGCCACCGATACTGATCAATAACTTGCTCAGCGATTAGCGTCACCTTCAGGATTCGACGTGTTCTGCGTAACCCGTCCGGTGGGTCACCCGAGCGAGCATAATCTTAACCATGTGGACCGCGTTCAGATCCTTCAGACAAGATACATCTACCCACTTTCCGGTGCTAAACATGCACTGGAACCTGTGAATATACCAACTTCGGCTGAATCTGGTCCGTTTGCTTGCTTCGTTTAGGCGCTAACAAAATTCCTATTCAGTATGCAACTTCCACTGTCTTGTGTTTGTTGGAAGATTTGGTATGATAATAAACCTCACAGAGGGCGACATCAGCGACTCCAGTACTCTGCCAGCCCAAACCCTCCCTTGGAATTAAAGGCGGTGCCAGCTCAGTGGCATTTGATTAGTACCACCACCTAGTGAGGTACACAGCAGTAGTACCAAAAAAAAAACCCTAGTCTCATAATGACGGTAGTGTTAATTCTTCCGAATTTTGGCCCGTGTCCAAGGGTAGTACCAAACATCCCATCTTCATAGGAATGCTGTGATGAGTAACTGATTGCCCTTGATTATCTCAAGTAATTTACCTCCTGGAATCCTCCATCACTCGAGGTGGTACCTCTCCAATCAAGTTGCTGTAAGCCCGGAGTTCCTAGATGTACCGGTATGTCATGCTTCGTAGAACAAGTGTGGGGTTGTTCATGAGTGGGACGTACTCCTGAACTACTTTGGTAACTATCAATTGATCACGTAAAATCATTCAGTGACTCAGTTGTTACATTGTCGCATCTTTTTTTCACGACAGAGTGACATATCACATTGCGCCCTGCACGCAGCTCCTTAACGATCAAGAGTTATCTGTTGTCGTGACTTATCTCAATATTGGGGCACGTTTCTATGCAGACGACTGGAGTACTATGTCCAAGGAATGAGATTTTCTCCGTTTGCAATATGATTTCATGATAAGGATGCACATTACCATGGGATTGCATCGGATTTTATACAAAAACTGTGATGAATCATTCCTTTGTGAGGGTGAGTACTCTGAAAGGTTGGCTCTGTCAAAGTAGTCAAGTAGCTCTTCCAGATTTCTCATCATTTTAGTGATTGTCAATTAATTTCTTCACTTCAGCGTCGCACATGATTAATCAATGTCGTAGCCCAAGTAGATCACTAGAACTAGTGCAAAAATGGATTGTGTTTTAAACCCTGCGTCTCGATGTCAACTCCATGAAAGGTTTGTGTCGTACAGTGGGGCGAGATCGATGTCCCTTCCAGACGCTTTGATGGTAGGTTTGTTGCACTCACTCAATTGCTTTCTCGGATTTTCCAACCTCTTGCGTCGTCCTCTTAAAGTTTCTGGTGATTGTGACGACACTTCGGTTAAGTTTCTCCGTAAATGCCCACTTACGAAGGTCTACAATTCGAGCACGGTCTCCTATGTGCAATGAGCTTATTCCACTGGAGTTCCGTCTTCAAAGCAACAACTGCTAGTGATAAAACAGAGCTTTACGTAATTCTCTGTGATTTGTTAACTGTTTTTCGATTGTAATGGAGATCTAAGGTGAGCGTGAGGGTCCACAGCGCCCTTGATTAACTGATGAACTTTCGGTTCCTTGAGAATGCTGTTAGTTGTTAGTTGATTTCCTCAACATGGGTTGAGAAGGTATGCAAATATCTCTGCGAAATCCAGGTTGGTCCCACAAATCAACGCATTGAGTACACACTATCATTACTGAACTACATTTCAAAGCATTGAAGTGAAATATAAGGTTCCCTCTGCGTGTACGTCGCTCAAGTGCCTTGGATGCGAAAGTTGAGTTTCTCCATTGCTGCAACATGATCCGTAGCTGACGCTTCATATAGGCAAGAGCACCGCAAGAACTGGAGCTGTTCCGCAAGGAAGTTATGACATATCCGCAGGTGGAATTGTTCAAGCCGTTTTCGAGTCCCCAGGTACAGATTTTGCCAAATATTTGCAGACTTCCACATGGCACGTTAGGAGAGCTTTCTTTTCCATATCCTGGGAGCAAAACGTCGCTGTATCACTTTAGAAGGGGCTTTTTGGAAATGTTCGTGCTCTGCTGGTGTAGTTCAGTCTGCCAGTTACCAGCCATCAGCAGGTATTGGGTCATGATTTTCCTCCACGAAGTCGTCCGGTGTGATTTCCAACTTGCAGGCAATTTGTTGCAACGTGCAAAAACAAATACTTCATAGAGAAATCTGAGCGTTTCAAAGGGACTTTAAAGAGAGAAGGTTGAAGTGTGGGAGGGTTCACCGTTTCAGTCGCTTGGGAAAAGGTCCTTCGCGTTAAAACTCGCGACAAACGCGAGTGGTGGGACCCTGTGCCTCCCCTTTGCACGGTCACCAGCTTTGGCATGAGAGAATCTCAAGGGCGTGCCTTTGCTTGTAGAGTCGACATACCTCCGGCTGCTCCGTCCTTTAGATGCTTCTTGAAACTGCTGGTTTCTATGTCCCCAGAGCTTTTACTGAGATGTAGCATGCCAGGTTCGGTAAATTATAACACTCTTGAGCTCACTTACTTATCGCAAGTTGGTTCCCTTGGAGGCTTTTTGAGTGAGCGAAAGACCGTGCGTTGTTCACCTCAGTGAAGGTTGGGATGGTTGCAAAGAGGCAAGTGAGCGTCAATCAATGAGCACCTGGTGTGGGGTTTATGCTAGGATTCATGTGAGTACGTACTGTTTGTCGAGCCTGAGAGGTTGTGGAGGGCATCAAGACTAGAGTTGAGGATCATGATTCAATGGAAGACGCGAAAGGTTTTGGAATATTGTTGGGGGACATGTAAACATTGCAATTTATTACTGCAATTTGTACGCATCTTAATTTCTCAACTCATGAGCTCTCGAGCTTGAATCATTGGGGAAATCAAAGTTTTCCACAAATGGAACTTTTTAGTTAAGTTTTCCTGACCACGAAAGTTGTCCATGATTTTGGGATTGATATCAGACACGCTGTGCCTTGTGTGCTTGTGGGAGATTGGAACCTGTACACACACACAGTAAGGAGCTGACGCCACCACCTGCCTTGATTACTCGGGTTTGTTCATTGTCTGTAAGGACCACATCAGTCCCAAGAAAAGTTTTGAACCTCTGCTGATGCTGATGTCGTGCAAAGTTTCAGGAAATAATACAAGCTCCTGCATAACGGAAGACAAAGCAAAAGTGCGCAGTTCGCAGGCCAATGTAGTCGATTGCCTGCAGGTGCTGCAGAAGAAATGCTGTGAGCTCACTCTTTTTGACGATTAGAATTGGGGCCTGAACATTTAGTTCGTCAAACATTATCTTTCGTTGGGTTGTGTTCGGTGCAAGGAAGCTGTTAACTGAGACAATATCCGAGGTATAGAACATAACAATTTGCGTGGAATAGAAGCTATTGGTTGTCAGGATTCATAAAGATGTCTTCTACCTCATCTTGCACAATTATTTTCATTGGGCATCATTCATGACAAGAAAAGATTCCAATTTCAAGGGTAGTTTCTCTTTGTTTCCATTTCAGGCGTTTCATGCATAATTAGTGAATTTGTGTCACGCAGCAGAGTAGATATGAATCTCAATTGAGTGGTGACATCACAAGCTGGAGGCAGAGAAGCCTACGACAGCAGCGGAAGAATAGTGTTACTGAACAAGCTTCAGAAATTTTGCGACCATAGCTACACTCTCAAACTTGCCCCAGGTGGGTGTTCTAAACTACATTTTTGGGCCATTGCATTGCCAAGCTTTATAAGTTCCCCCACAATAGAACTCTTAGTTTGCACCTGCAGAAGAATTCTCCATTAAACCCAATAGTATCCTGCTATCCAAATAGAAAACCGGCTTGCTGGAGCGTGGCTTGAGTGTAAGGTTAGAGGAACAGGTGATTGTCAATGGTAGATTCTAAATCCCATCTCATTAGAGCAATAAACTTCATCAGCCGCTTCGTCATTCTCTCGAGCTCACATCTCGAGAGTTCCTCATCTAACCTCATGTAACATTCTCAGCCGTGCGCTCGCGAGTATAAAAATTAAGCTACAAGCAAGGTTTTTTGCTTTCTTTGAATCTTAATATGTATCAAGTAGATGACATGCCTAAATTAATCTCCATTTAAGAAACGATTCCATGTCTCCCACTGCAGCATGTCTTCAAATTCTGCTCGTAATCTAGAAGATTTGACGTGGAAGGCACCTACTTCCTCTCAGAACACAACCACGGATGTCGTCAAAGTAAGTCACTCAGACACCACCTTGGTTGTAGTATCTTGGTTGTCGAATGTTTATGTTTATATTTGATTGGGTTGCAAAGAAAGAAGAAATTCCAGAAGAATTGTGGTTTGTGTTCATGTACTTAAATATCCGCGTAAAAGAAACTTCTATGCCACTCTATCTCACACCGAAAAAGAGTACAGGACACCGCAGAAAAATCCAATTTCGACAAGGGGGTGCTGGAGGAAGAGTGGTACACGCCCGAAACCTCTCTCATGGAGCTCTCCTACTCATCCTCTTACGAAATGCAAGATGCTCCGTCAAATTTCAGCTTGCTTGAACCCTCCCTCAATTTCGACAGTGTCAACAGTCACGCCAGCTTCCGTCTGGCCCCATCAATCAATTTAGGCATGAGCCAGCTCCAAGGCAACGGCCTTCTGGATAATCTTGCATGCACTGGCCAAGGCTCGAGTGTTAGCCTCCTCTCAAATATTCCTCCAGGTCCTGAGCAACCCATTTCGCGCAATTGTACACTGATGATACCTTCTACAATATGTGCTCTGTAATGAATTTCGGAATTCTGAAGAATCAGTGAATTGGTCGCATTTACTTGTGTGGCGGAGTCAAGTTCTAAGCGCTTTTGATGATCCCGTATACCAAATTAATGTAAAGCGTGGGGTTGTGCAGGCGGGCAACTCGGTCATATCTCCACAATGGACAGCTACAGCCAGGGAATAATCTTCCCAGGTAGTAGCGTTGGCAACATCGCCAGCAGCAGCATCAATGCAAGGAGTGTAAATCTCCCACCTTCGTTTGCAGATGCATATTCTGTGTCAGCATTGAACCAAAACAAGCCTGGGGAGGGTGGTTCTGGAGTCTCCAGAAACGACTTTGTGCTACACCACACGAGCAAGCAGGCGAAGAGCTGTTTGCCAGGACAGCAGACATTGTTCCAGAAGGGTGCAGCCTCTAGGCGATCGGTGGCAGGTGGAACTGTCCCGTCAGCAAGCAAGTCGCCCTCACGGGTATTCACATCTGCCTCAAACGACTCCTCCATGGACACGCGGGATAAAGAAAGTCCTCATACGGGGAATGCCTCGAGGGCGGAAATGCTTTCGGGGTCCGATGATCCAAACGACATAAGGTTAGACGGAGATGACTACGATCCCGACGAGAGTGGGGATGGCTCTGGGGGGCCCTACGAGGTGGAAGAAGGCGCAGGCAATGGAGCAGAGAACCATGGAAATTCGAAGATCAAGGGGAAACGCGGCCTTCCTGCAAAGAACCTCATGGCCGAGCGCAGACGCCGCAAGAAACTCAATGATCGTTTATATATGCTTCGCGCTATGGTTCCCAAGATCACAAAGGTTTGTGAATATCCCCACACTCAACAAGTTTTACATGCATAAATACTTCACACAGAATACGGTTTAAGGCTTTCCATGGAGTTGCAGTAACACGTATGGGTTTGGTGAACAGATGGACAGGGCCTCCATACTCGGCGATGCAATCGAGTACCTTAAGGAGCTCCTGCAGCGTATAAATGACATCCACAGCGAGCTCGATGCAGCGAAACAGGAGCAGTCGCGGTCCATGCCGTCCAGCCCCACTCCGAGGTCCGCTCATCAAGGCTGCCCACCTAAAGCGAAAGAAGAATGCCCCATGTTGCCGAATCCTGAAACCCATGTCGTCGAGCCACCACGAGTACGCCCCTCACCACCCCTGCGCTTGCTTTGCATCACATTAAACTTCAAGGCTTTTATCGTCTGTGCTCCCTGAATAGTAGGAGAGACTTCACCGCTGACCATTCTCCAGGCAGAGATTGATTCCTGAGCATAACTTGGAGATTTCACTTGCGCAGGTGGAGGTGAGGAAACGAGAAGGCCAGGCACTCAACATCCACATGTTCTGCGCGCGTCGGCCAGGATTGCTCCTCTCTACTGTAAGGGCTCTTGACGCCCTGGGCTTAGATGTGCAACAGGCCGTCATAAGCTGCTTCAATGGCTTCGCTCTCGACCTCTTCCGTGCAGAGGTATGACCATGCCGAAGCAACCCTAAACCTTAGATGGTAAACACACTATTTTCAGTTGCAACCAAAAAATCTACCACGTAATTTTCTTATATCAAACAAACCTGATCTCGTTTGGCTCAAGCCTCATACTGACCTACCATCTTGGGCGGGGTGGTTGGAATGGCCAGGCAAAAGATGCAGACGTAGAACCCGACGAAATCAAGGCCGTCCTGCTACTCACTGCAAGACGTGGAATGCATCCTTTGCAGTAGGTTTCATCGAGCACATGGATACACTTCCAATCCTCTTCTTCTTCTTCTTCTTCTTCTGCCCTGCTAAGAGATGGTAACCAATTAAAATTCACTTTGGTAAATGTACACGCAGTTAGAAGGGGGGTTGGCAGCAGACATTGGACTCTTTACCTACGTTGGAATCAGTACATGGTAGGGCCTGCAGAGCAAAGACTTATGTGGGACCTGCATTGTGCATTGCCAGAAGAATGAGCCTTGAAAAAACGTTACGAACGCAGACCGTTTCTGTACAGCATCTCCCAAGATATGTGTGCCCTACTGTCTATGCATTTACGATACAACCCATGTCTCCCCTCACCACCCTACATCTGCCAGACTTGTCAGGCTAGCGGCCGGATAAAGTGAAACACAGCAGCTGCAAGCGTGGACGCAACGAAGCTCCGGAACTGTATCCATGCATCGGGAGAAAACAAACGCACGATGCCCCACGCTTGCAAATCTGTCTGTCGTTGTGAAAGCAATAATCTCCAAGCCTCGCTCCCCCATATCCATCCCGAGTCCTCCAGGCATTGCAAATCAGGAATGAAGTCCTCCTAAAGCATGGACTCTGCCGATTCTTCCCCTTTGGAACTTGTGTATTCCTGGCTGCTGCTGACCTTGAATCTGGATACCCGATTTCGAATCGTTCCCTGGTCTCTCCGTCAATGGCGAATGCAGTCTCCGAATGAGACACAAAAGCTCATTCTTAGACAGGGTTTAGTGACGAAATACCATGGAAAATAGGGAAAAAGAGTGTGACATTGCAAAAGGATAAACGCTTTTGGATCTCCATTGACATAGTGTGCTTGTCTTTTGACTTCTCATTTATTGAAATAATGTATGAAGATAGGAGCTTTTGCCTTATCATCAAAGTGGTTTTTTTTTACATAAAAAATGTAAACATCATAAGACTGAAACATCAGGAATATGATGGTTGGTCCTCCCTAAAACATTCAGATGAGTTGCACATCTGTTCTGCTGGAAAATTTACTCATGAGTCTCTGTAATGCTAACATAGAATCTGTGGTTTTTAGTAGCTATTTTATCATTTGAAGGGGCGTTGTTGGAAAAACTGATGTGAAGTCCAGGAGAGGTCAAAAGAGAAGTCTTTTGAAGAGTGTGCTTTGTTGGTGGAAATCAATTTGAAAACCTGAAAAAAAATTGTAAAAGTGATGCGATATTATCTATTTTTCTAAAAACTAATGATATGTACTTGTAAGATGTTTACATTGAAAACAACTTTAGTTTTATATGAAACGTATGATAGTTGGTTCAAACAACTACACCAAGTTCTGTAGAAATCAAAATAATATATATATATATATATATATATATTGATCATTTCAAATACAAAATAACTACTGTATTCTAACTAATTGAGCTTGATTATACAAATGAAAAATTCAAAAATGTAAACCATGATAACTCAAAAGGTTTTTTTTTTAAAATTAACATTATTATCATCATCATCATCATCATCATCTCACATTTTGCATCACAACATGTGTTGATAAAAACATGTATTATTTGTCGACTAGAACATATCAATGGTACTAAATTATTACTAGTATATATATAATATGTATTTTACAATGAGACATTACTTCAAACTACACTCAAAGAAACTGAGAATAAAGCTCTGCACCCCAACTCTTGTAAACATGTAACTCTTTTGGAGTCTTGTCTCTTAACCAAGGAATAACTTAGAATGGGGTATTTGATATCCTTTCTTTTTACAGACAAACACACATCTATATATATATATATATATACACATATTCATGGGTATTGCAGTTAAATGCAACGTCATTTGTAGTTGTGTGCAAAGCAGCAGCAGCAGCAATCCTCTCACACATATGCCTGCAAGCTAATCTTGCTATCTATCTATCTACCTATCTATCTACAACGAACCATCAACAAAGAGGGCCACCATGAAAACAACAAAACAAGAGCCAAAATAACAACAAAATAAAACAGAAAAATAAGGTTATCCTCTAGATGCTTGTCACAAAAATTACAATGATACAAGAGTCGGGGAGCTAACTAGAATACAAAACCCAGTTCCTGCGAAACCAAAATCCCTGCCGTGATCAGAAGCTAAAGCACGCAAAATTCAAGCTCCTCCTCCACGTCCCCCCCTTCAAGTTGGTGTGCGCCGCGTGCTCCTGGCACACAGACCACACCTGATCCAGCTTCACGGGACTGTCTAAGTGCACGTAAATCTCCAGATCCTTTAGGGACGGGACGGCGAAGAGGAGCCAGCGCAGGAGGGAGGTGCAAGCGTGTGCGCTGAGCACAACCATGTGCACAATGAGGTGCGTTAGTGCCGGCCATCTGAGGAAGGTTGCGAGATTCTGATCCGCGGCGAAGGATTTCTCCATGGAGTGCCAGAGTCCTGGACCCACGCTGAGAGTGTGGAGAAGTGGGCACGATTCCTTGAGGGATTCGATGTCCGGGACGGCGAGAGGTACTTGCGGGATGATGCCCTCCCACTTCCCGTCCTCCCCTAGCGACATGCACGGCACGTCCAGGAATATTTTCTCCAGGAAAGGGTTGGTTCTCATCAGGCTGGAGAGAGTTCGGAAGTGGCTGGCACCGAAAAGAAGCTCCTTGAGCTGGGTAATGTCGTCGAACTCTACCAGAGACCGTTCACGGTTCTCCATGCAGACGGCGACGTAGGCGAGACTGGGAGCTTTCACGCGGAGGGAATCCGGGCATGTCATTTTGAGCTGGAGTTTTTTCACCTTGGGGAGATCGAGATCGACGATCTTGGCGCTCGTGGAGAGGCCGAGGCACAGGACCTCGAGGTTTTCGGATGTTAGGCGGGCTTCTTGCACGCCGAAGACGCTCACGAGGGCTAGGGTTACGAGTGCGGGCATGCATGCGTTAATGTCGGTGAGAGACCTCTCGGTCATTTTAATGCACCGGAGGGTGAGACTCTTCATATTGGACATCTGCTGGAGATCTTCTGTGTCGAGGAACATGTTGCGTAGCTCCAGGGACTGCAAGTTCTTGCCTGTTGCAAATTAACATTCGGAGCGTGAGGAATTGCCTCTCAGAAGTTAGGGTGGGCCCCCAAGACCTTGTGCAAGTTTCACACAACTAGAAAGGAGGGAGAAGGAAGCTTACACTTCTCGGAGAGAATTTTAACGATGGGAGACTGGCGCATGATCGCCTGCTGGCCGTAATCAATGAGCGTCAAATGCTGAAGCGAGTGGCTGCATAAGGACACCCACTTGCTCACAAACATGGGCTCGCTCAACCAAAAGTCCACCATGTGAAGCTCCTCCTTGAGAAGCTGATTGGCTTGCATTTCCTGGTCGACTTCGATCCGAAGCTGCTGTACACTGTCCAGGCGCTGCAGCATGTTCAGGCAAGCATTTTTGAATGGAACATGGACGGGACGTTGGGGGGAGGTTGAATTCGAGAACGAAGCCGACTTTCCACAGCAACCATCCTGAAACTTAGCGCTGGACTTCGCTTGAGACCTTGAAATCTCACAGCAATCGTCTTCGTCTTCTTCCTCCTCACTTTCCTCAGAATCGGAATCTATCTCGTCGTCTTCCTCGTCGGAGTCTGAGTATGAGCATGGAGGTCTAACAGGAAAGCGTTCCCGAGCAAGGTCATAGTACCGTTTGCGGCACACAAGGTTGAGGCACCGGACTTGCTGCACTGCTTCGTTCATGGTCTTGCTAGTTGCCATGCAATTCGCAAGGTCCCGTGCATCCTTAACCTTGTTGATGATGTCTGATATAACGTGGATGGGCAGCGCCTGCATCGCAAATCAAGCCGCACAATTGATCAGCCATATGTGTCTGAAAACCTAGGCACATGAAGGCAGACTTAATGCAACCGGAATGCTTGAAGAATCTATGTAATCTTTCATGATCGTTTTCCCAAAACCAAATGTGGGAAGAATGAGAGTTCTGGATCTGATTTTTCTAATTCTAGTACCTCCTCCATGCCAGAAGGTTGCATCTTCTCAACCATGCCCTCCGAAATCGTGGTTGTTAGGACGATCGGCAGAATTGACCCATCCACAGCGTCTTTGGAAATCGGTCCTTTCATATGCTCCTGCGATCAATTTCAGAACCCATTAGGACTCACAATCCTCTCGCTTCCTAAACGAACAATCCTAAGATAACTTAATCCAAAAACTAGGATCCAACGTACACACCTACAAAGAATAATAGATAGCAATCTCTACGTAGCCGATCAGTATAGTATGACTGTGCAGAGCTGACTACATTAACTAATTTCGCACAGGTAGCCTGCACTCAATTGAATTACTATTTGTCCACTAGTTGGCAGTCGTCCTTGAATGCTAGACCATTATTCAGAGATCCATTCACTGAAGTACGTGCACGCAATTCATGAATAGTCAACCACTCCAAGTCCGTCCAATTAGACTACCCTTCATTATGAGACTTCATTAAAGTTCAGGCTGACTGACAGAACAGTGTTTTTCAGGAGCCCTAGAAGATGGGAGGAGGGTAAGTTCGATAGTCAGGGCAATTATTTTGAGGTTTACCTGGAACCATCCCTCCGAATGCACTTGAACAGAACTTTCCTGACACCGGGCCATAGCTCCCATGATTGATTATCTGTGTCGACTGCAGACCAGTATGAGCTCACTAATCCCAGAGGAAGCAAACTAACGTACACTAATCCTCGGCGCGTGAGTGCACAGCTATGCGCACATGCACAGTATTTGGCATTGCCCACGGTGCCTCGACTGAGAACGACAAATCATAGAGAATTTGATTTTGATCTCCTCTGTTACTGGACTCAGGATGTACCGGTCCATATAAAAAAAATTATTAGATGCAGTTAAGCCTCTCATTGAAAACTTTCTCCTGGGTCACCATCTAGGTGTCGAGCTATGATGAGTGATTTAGTTGTCTCCACTATTCATAAGGGATTGCTTGTTTTCCAATGAGATCCAATTGACTTGCAGCTCAACGATAACCAACGGTTGGCTCTTGTAGAACAGCGCCTGAGGGACACAGGGGCCCACTGGTGAAATGTGTATATTCAATCAGGATTTCGGGCTCTCAAGAGAACGTTCCGACCGTGTGTACACAATTTATAGCACCGGGATCTCCTCGACACCATAAAATCAGACAAGCTATGGGAAACTCCCGAAAGGTCGATCTTGTTTGACCTCACCGAAAAAATAGAACGAGCCACTGAACCAACAAAATGTTCAACACCACGCTCACTGACAACCCAAAAAAACAGAATCCCTCTCAGACCTAAGAACTCAGGCAGCTCAAATGAACGCACCAAATAACAAAATTGAAGCACACAAGAAGATAAGAAATTCCTCACTCAGACCAAAAACCCAAGTGCTAGACCCAGAAATTGCTCCAGATCCGAGAACAAAAACACCTCGCAACTCAGCTCAGCTCCTCTCAGTCTCTCTGTATAAGGCCACTCTGTGACACACTCTCGCTCCCACTCATACAAATCCCCCAGCAATGTTAGGCTCGATGCACTCCCTCCGCACCATCTTGTAGGCGACTAGTTCCGCAATTAAATAAAGAAAAAAAGAGAGGAAAGCGATGCCTAGTCGGAAAATGGACAGATTTCCCAGTAGTCCTCCGGAAGTCTGAGTTTTATGGGAAAAACAAGACGAATACATAGAGAGAGAAAGAGAGTGAGTGCAAGCAAGCTAGCTAGCCACCCAGCCACCCAGCAATCAACGGGTGGGGTGTGGGAGCCATAAACTACACTTGGACTGAGTAAAAACCCCACCCGTCCCCGTCCCCGCCCCAAGAGCTGCGGCCGGCCAAGCAATTTCACTCACTGATACTACTACTGCTGCTGCTGCAAAGCCAGCCCAGCCCAGCGTAGGTTGGGGGTGGGGAGGGGGGGTCGTGGTCGCGGTGAAACAAAGTAAAGTCCGTGTCTGCAACTGCGCAGAGGCGGGGATCACGGACTGATTGGACTGGACGGGACGGGACTGAACTCACTCACTCTCTCTCTCTCTCTCTTTCTCTTTTGCTGTATTCATTCATTCTTCGTCCCCTTCGCTAGAACCACACGGTACTACCACCACGGCACACACCCCCGTCCGGGTCTGATGTCCACTTTGATGAATGAATGGATTCATAACTCCATGGATGAACGAAATCATTCGTGAAATCTGGTGGATGGATGTCGCCGTCTACGGATGGATGTCGCCGTTGATGGATGGATGAGTTGGTGGACCCGGTTTCGGGGGTTTTTTAGTGTTCACCCATTATCAGTCACTATTTGACCGACATTACGGGGTCCTTAAATTGTAAGCATTCAATAATTGATCCGAAAAAATTCTCCCACCTAAACTTGTAAGGGAGGGAGGTATTAAAGACAAATTGCTTAATTCCTCAATCATGATTCGTTCGTGTGAATGGACCTGAGTCTAATTTTGGTGGTAAGCATATACTACGGACTGACTTTTTGTTCTTACTTGGAATATATATATATATATATATATATTTAAAGTATGTGTGTGTATATCTTTATATATATATGTACGTATGTGTGTGTATATCTTTATATATATATATATAGACACAAAAAAGATTTTGGTTATAGTATGTTAAAACTCAATAGTATGCTAATTTGAAAAGAAAACAATTATTATCTTGATCTACTGTGCGATTTAAAGGAAGAAATTCCAAAAAAGAAGGGTTTTTTTGTTTATGATATGACAAAAAATACAAATCAACATTTGTGTTTAAAGAAAGTGAGAAATTAGTATTCTTGGCCAAGCAAGTTAAACTGAAACAACATAGGATAACTATTGTCATGATACAAGGAGTAATGCAAGCAAATAGATGTACATTGATGAAACAAAACAAACACTTAGATTTTGTATCTATGATGTTTTCTATTAAAAAATTATAAATATGTTCCTACAGCTCGTGAAAGATATGGCATTTCCTTTAAAAATATTTTTCAAACTCTGAGAAGTAGCAACAGAATATTCCAGTTTTAAAAAAAGCTACAATTTGGTACTTTATTGAATACTTTAGCAACATATGTTATAAAAAATAACACTAATATTGAAATTGATTCTTTTAAAACCTTGAAAAATCATAAATCAATACTATAATATTCTCAACTTATTTGTGTAAATTTAAATTACAGCATATAGAAATTTTACATTTTTGCATTAAAAAAAATCCCACATACATTTTATTCTATCAAAACTTTATCCCAATATAAATATATTTTATACTTCTTCTTTCTCAATTCATATTCATATTAAAATAAAACGTTTTTTTAAATATGATATTTTATATATTTATATTTACAAAAGATCTAAAAATTCAATTAGATTCTAAAATAATCAAAAATCTTACAAATAAAAAATAAGAAATTAAATCACATATTTAATATTAAAATCTAAAATTTTAGAAAATAAATGATATAAAAATACTAATGTTTCATTAATTTATATAAACATTATAATTTCAATTTGATATTCTTACTACACATATCTATCAAAAGATTGCCTTTCAAAGTTGCAAGTTTTTTAGATTTCATTTGCTTAAATACTTTGTTTGGATAATATAATTATAAAAATAATTAAATAATAAAAATAAAAATAAAAATTACTTAATCTTTAAAATAACTAACGTGTGTTTGATTTGTACATCATATTTCATAATATAGATATACACCTATTACAACTTCATAGTAAAAAAAAAAGCTCAAACTTTAGCATTTGATTATTTATTTCTAAAGTGTATTATATAAATAAATCTCTTAAACTTCGTTTCTGAAATATAAAACTTTGACTTCTTAAAGATTTATATATTTAATATATAAAGTCATTTGAATTGAAATAATTTTGAGTGAAATATTTTTCTATTGTACATGTTTATATGAGTAGATAGATTATTTACTAGTTTTAGCATAACTTTATATTGTTCAACTACTCTTATATATTTGTGTATATATATATATATATATATATATATATAATTCCAATATAAAATTCAATAATAATTCACACAATTTAGAAAAAAAATTATTGTACAAAAAATATGTCTTAAATATATATATATAGAGAGAGAGAGATGAAGTATTTTATTTTTAGTTGCTTGTAATGATTTAAACTTAATTTAAGACATAAAGCATATATCTTTTAATTCAAAATTGAAAATAAATGATTATTTTTGATAAATTCATCAGTTTATAAATTCATGTATTATGAACTTGTACATTGTTGATCAAAAACATGTAAATGAACTAATAATTATTGCAACATGCACAATGTCAATTAAATGTAAGTAAATAAATGAGTTCCTATTAGAGTATAAAAGTTTAGTTCCTAATATTTTCAAAATGAGATTAAAAAATCCATATTTATTTATAGCAAAACCTTCATTTTTATTTACTTATGTACAGTTCATGTTGTAAATTTTAGTATTCCAGAGGATTTAATCTATATAATATTTGAAATTTGAAACGTTTGAATTGCCGGTCATTATATGGTATTTCATATCTGTTTACAACCCACAACTAGTGAGTCTTTTCGTATACTGTTTTGTGTTTTATGTTTGTAATATAATTTAGATGTTTAAGGCTATGATTGATATTCTTATAGAATCGATTTTTTGATATTTCACCCTGACGTCCAACTATTATCTTTACAATATTTTATTAGATGTTGTAAAATGAAAATCAATTGCCATGGATAAAAGAAGTTTGTTAAATAGTACATTAACATTTCTTTACAAATACAAATTCTCTTTAGCAGAGTCATGCATGTCATGTTAATCTTGTTGTTTTTTTTCTCTTTTTTTTTCTCAACAAATAATGACTTTAAACAGGTAACAATTTACATTCACTTAAGTTTTTCTGTCTCACTTACATTCATATACATAGGCATTTCAGCCAGTTCAAAGTAAGGAAGACTGTATGTATGTGGTTATGTATGTGTATATAATTTTCAAAATAAAAATCATGAATCATAAACCAAGAAGAAAAATACACTTTACTGAAGTCTAATGAGATAAAACTCTATTGATCACACAAAAATTTGTGTTAAACTAAATCAATGAAATTCATTGCAGTGAATTTTACTTTTTTACCAACAAATTCAAGGAAAATACTATTACAGTTGGGTGCTCAGCATGCCAATTTTTTCAAGAATATAATAAGAAATTTATTTTTACTTAAATATTTCAGTGATTTTTTTAATACAATTCGAAGCACTTTTTGTAAATTTAAGCACAATTTCCTTAAAAAATGTGAAAGCTTATATCAATTCTGAGCAAAATGTTTTGATTCTGGCATCCAGCGTGTCTTTCCATTTTAGAGTAACTCCCCAAAGTTTGTAACTCGAAATAAAGTTCTGTTCCATTTTATGCTTTAACAGTTTTAATCTTTTTAAAGTTTGTACTGAAACTTTCTGACAGCCCTCAAGTGTGTGCCATACTCATGTGCCAATATTTCTGACATGGAAGGGTTTTAACTCTTTTTTTGAAACAAATATGCTCTTCATTAAAATTGAGCAATACGGCAAATTTTGTTATTAAATTATGTATACATGTTTGTATTATATTATATTTTTTCTTTCTTAAACATAATTGGTATGCATCCCTTGTAGGCCTCCATCAAGCCTAATGGCTCCACAACTTAATGAAACCGCATAAGTCCAAAAATGATTTATATGGTTTGTTGCCAATGCTTGGACTTTCATTAGCTTCCTTTACTTCTTTATGGGTAGGGTGTGAGTGGGATGATATTAATCCTCCAAATGAAAATCATGTTGATTAGTCACCAAAGCAACAAACTGCCAAAAAACTTCTCCGAAGATGTCCGACATGATCCAAGGGACCGACCAAGAGCAGAATGGATTGTCGGCCAAGTGACAATCAACAATCCTTTCATTCCTCCCAAGAAAGAATGGAAAACACACACACACACACACACACACTTGCAAGCTAGGCTATACAATAGCTAAAAGCATGACTTGTTCTTGTTTCATCTCAAGTAATGAAACAAAGAAGAAGAAATAATGCGGAAAAGAGAGCAATGTGTAAATTATGGATCATCTCATAGATGTGTTCTTCTAGCTTTTTACCAAGTTTTGTTTGTAATTGAGTTACTTGGTTTGGAAGAGATGACGCAACTTAATTCTACACATTGACCATTATACAAAAGAAGCCAAGATTGTTGCACAGAATTGTGTGCCATCATGGTGACCATTCTTGCTAGAAACACAGTCCGCCATACCCAGCAAATGACAATAACTTGCTTGGGGACACAAGCAAAAGAAGAAGAGAGGTGGGGGGTTGTGTGTGTGGTGGGCTATGAACCTCCTTCTTCTTCATGAGGTTAGTGGTGGCAAAAGAGTCAAACTTGTGGTAGAGAAAAGGCTTTATTGAGTGAGTGAATGAGAGTGAGATCCCACTGGGTTTGAGCCACTGTGGAGTGGTGGCATCACCATCTGTTGGCTGCCTTGAAGTAGACGTGGAACAGTTTTTTGTGTCCTTGGGTGGTTACTCTCATTGCTTCACATAAAATGTCTTTGAAAAAAACATTAAAAAATAAAGAATGAAAGAAATATATTTTTTTCAATATAAATGAAATGATAAAGGGGAAAGAGGAGGATGGTGTCATATATATATATATATATATATATATATATATATTATATATTTATATATATATTTCAGATGTTGAAATTAATGATTTTATAACTATTAATATGTAAATACAGAGAAGTGAGACAATACTTTTTCCATGACCAACCTACCC